CACTTAAGTGTGGGCAGTTTAGTCTTTGTAAGTGTAATTAGAACCTAATAAACATAAGGGGGTCGACTGAATGGGTGACTAATCAGTTTTCGACTAAACCCTCCTGTTCTCTCTTTCTCTTGTCTTCTTCCTCATCTTCTTCTTCCTTCTTCACTGGTTCGGATTACTGTAGCTGCTCCAAAACAATAACAAACTGGACAAGTGGAGAGGCTGGTATAACAGAATTGTAACTGAGTGTATCCTAGTTATAAATAAGGAAAGGAAGTCCAGAAGAAGGAGAACTGATTTCTGGAAATTCCGTCTCTCTCTCTCTCTCTCGCGCGCGCGCGCTTCAGGAGGCAGGCTTCCTCAAAAAGCCCTGAGTTAGGCAGTTACCTAAAACATTTTTGCACCCCAAAAGAAAAGTGTGTCCTATTATTGTACTTTGTTACCAACTTGATCTCTTCAAATTTTGGTACTTTTATCATTTTAAATAAACCTTTATGTAGTGATGACTCTGATTTGGTGGATAAATTTTCAAAACATAAAACAACAGTGGTAATGTCCCCTGCTATAATTTATCCTAGATACAGTCTCTAGGATTTAATCATCCCTCATTATTCTCTACTAAATTCATCCTATGAAATTTCAATAAAAAAATCCAACTAAAATCTTAATTTTGGAACTTTTGAATTTTCTCCCATAGAGAAGATTCTTCACCCCTTTGTGTTTTTTTTTTGATAAATGACTAATATTTTATTAAAGAAAGATCAAGATTACACGACAATACAGACTAAGGAGAGGCACAAGCTGGTACCTCTCCTAAACAACAACATTGTATTACATCAGACTAGAAAACAAAAATTGACAGAGCTGCCCAAAATAATTGTTCCCTTGAGGCCCCTTGCTTAGCTAACCCATCCGCCATGGTATTAGCTGTTCTACCCACCCACTGTGAAGTATCGGTCATGTTCCTTGAAAACCAATTAACTTTCTTCAGAAGGTTCCTGTAGCACCAAATAACTGAACCTGGATTTGTTAACCAACCCACGACAACTCTGGAATCTCCTTCAATAACCAGCCCACCAATTAGTGTGGGTTTTACATCACACTAACTACTTGAAGCAATGCAATTAACAAGGGTATGAATAAGAAGGCTTTTCTGTAGACCAATGGCCCTGTGCCTACCTAAGTTATTTGTTGTTGAGGGATGAAACTTCAATGCATGTTTTTCTGTATATTTCATGCATCCTCTCACATACACGATACACCTTTGCTCTATGTCTATTAATGATAACTTGATATAGCCTTCTATAAGGAAATAGGAGGATGGGGAGAGTAAAAGATCAACCGTAAGTACTAGATTACTCATTTACAAACCCAATTTTCTGGTTCAGCAATTGTGCATAAACAGACCAACAATGTTTTCTCAATGACAGCCATACATGAGCCAGACCAAATGACAAATACAACAAAGTGACATCAACCATTTCTTGAACAGATATTTGTGGAAAAGTTGCTTTTCGTCTCTCTTGAGTTTAACTTCAAATTTTAAAATGATAAAGTAAAAGAAAATTATGTTTGCAGCATATAATATTGTTTGATTCCTTGGTTTTACAACTTTCCTAAACCTAGCAACTATTTCTCCAAGTGGCCATAACAAATTCTTTTCTTTAATAAATCTAATCCCAGATAACAATCAAAAGAATAAACCTAATTCCAGAATTCCATTTTGGTGTATTTCCTTGAGATCTAGAAATAACAGAAACTAAAGATTTTAGATAGCAATACAGCGGTAAAAAAACACAAATTTTATTAAAACTCATCATCATGGATCTTTATGTAAAATAAACAATGAATTAAGGAGAAGGCCAAACATGAGAAAGCTAATTAAGGAAAAGGACAGCCGCCTTAACATTTCAAGCCGCTTACTAATTAAGGAAAAGGCTAAACGTGAGAAAGTTAATCTGTTTGAAGAGGTTAAGTGGGGCTATTTTGCCGGATATATCTGATCAAAGCTAAATGTTTTTCAAAAGAATGATATCATCGAGAAAACTAGGACCTTTAACACAAATAGTCTTGAAGCGGAGGCCTAGCAGAAGTAGGCGTATATAATTCACACTGGGGGAATCAAATTTTCGCAATGACAAGAATTATCTGTCTTTTAGCTACCAAACCAAATGACATATTATTTAATAAAAACCATGAAGAAAAGAAGATATAATCAGATGGTAGCATACCAGAAATATTGATCAGAATCCCCAAATGCAGAAGAACAAAAAGAAGGAAGCTTTTAATAAACAAATCGAAAACGCCAAAAGGAACGAAACAAGCAGGTGTCCAAGGTATCTTGTTTATGAACTTAAGAAAGAAGAAAGTAAAGAAAGAGATGGTTGATGAGCACCATTGACAGATAAGAAATTGGGAAAATGAATAAACAACGAGATGTCTCACAATCCAAATGCAACTTGACAAAAATCTAAGAACAAAGAAAGCCAATAATCAATTTAAAATTTTCGTATAAACTTTTAACAAGTCAAACAGAGGGAAATGATTAAGAACTCCAAGTATCCTACATGTCACAGAAAAATGGATCTAGGTTTGGAGTAGTTAAAAAAAAAAAAGAACTAGACACATTTTAAGACTGAGAAATTTCCTAAAATAGTTAAGATAATAATGTACATTGGAAATTTCTAGCAGATCAGGTGTGAACCAGAAAGAAGAGAATTGTGACCTGTTGGAAATCCAGGGCTTACTTTAGACTTTAGAGTGGTTTGAAGAAGAAGAAATGTTAGGACTGGGGGGTTGAAGAAGAAGAAGGTGTAGGTCCTCTGCTTCCTCTTCCTCCCACAGTTCTCCGTTTCCCTCTCGCCCTTTCTCTGCTGCTCACCGTTTCCGGGAGGTAGGGAGGTAGGTAGGTAGGATTTGCAGATCTAATTGAATCCAACCGCTGCCGTTGTCCTAACTCCGAAGTAGGCGTAGGACCCTTGTTACGCTATTGGTTTAAGCTGGCCCACATTTTTGTTTTTGTTGGTGGCCCAAAATGCCTCCATGTCAAATACGTGGGCTTTGATGAAATGAATTTTTTACGAGTTACAAGCCCATTTGTTGGTAAAGCCAAATTTGAACGTAATGAAACTCATCAGTTCATAAAACTCGCTGGCTTAATTGAGTTTATATTATATATATTCTAGGGGTGGTTGGGAGGCCTTGGGGCCGTTTGGTGCTTATTCTCATAATTTGTTTGGTTCAAACAGGAATGAGATTTTATTTTCAAGGAGGAGTAGGAAATGGTCATTCCCTCAAATGGGAGAATGTCATTCCAACAGGAATAAGAATGGGATTCTAATTCCGCCCAGCCAAACGGTTGGAATCAAAATAACCCATTCTGGTTCTGATTTCAAACCCCTATTCCCGTAAACCAAATGGGGCCTAAAATTGGGACCATATGTCATCATGCCCAAATAAAGATTCACACGAACTGAATTTTTAATGAGTTATTTGAATTTTGATTGTAAAAATTTCGATTCATGCCACTGTAAACCAATCTCGAGTCAAATATATAGGCCTATTTATTTGCTCATAGAGTTGAATTTGAGACTAATCAACTCGAAGTCTAATCTAGTTTATATTTATATGTATGAATTTTTACTTTTTTTATATGAAGCTTGGTTCATGAGCTTTCAACTTGAACCGAAATTGAAGTTCATGCTTCTAGTTTAAATTGAGCTCGAGCCCAAACTTAAAAAAAAAAAAAAAAACAACCAAGGGAGCAATAATTATTAGTCATCATTGTTGTTGTTAAATAATAATTCAAGCATAATATTGATAATAATAATAATATATTGTTAACATTACGTGGAAACAACAAGATTATGTAGAAAAAAACAACAATGATAATAAAAGTATTAATAATAATTAATTTCATAAATTAATTATAGTAATTTTGTACAAATACCAATATCATAGCAAGAAAATTTAAAGGAAAAAAAAAAACATTTTAGCTATAAATTGGTTTTATCAGCACTTGATTATATGATTCTAAGATCACTTTCTTGAAACTTGTACTTCTTGCCAACAAAAGACCCTGATAGATTGTTTTGGGTTCAGCTTGGAGGGCCAAAGAAGCAAACACATGCCAATAACTAGTAGCAACACAAAATGCAGAGCTGTCACGAATAACTGCTCCAAAGCTGGCCTTATTTCCACCTTTGAAACCCCCATCAACGTTCACCTTTACTAAGCCTTGACCAAGGGGCAACCAAACAACTAAAGAGGACTGAGGGGCTTCATTCAGTTGCTGAATTTGCCAGGTACTTTGCAACAGGAGCTCGAGAGCAATGGACTCGACATCGACTGGGAGAACTCCCTCACCTACCTATAGATATTGTTCACCAACACAATAGGATCAGCAGTTCCTTAAAAAATATAAAGGTTTTAGCTTTCCAAATAGTCCAAATAATTTGGGCTGTGTGAGAAAGCAATTCAGACTTTCTTTCTTTTAGAACATAGTAATTTGAGACCCAATCAAAGAACCAGTCAACAAGCTTGATGTAAAACTGATTTAGGAGCCTTGTTACAAAGAGGGCATAGGTTTGACCTACCCAATTATCTTTTGAACAACAAATCATTTACCTCATGGCAACACCTCCATAAGAAATTTTTGATTTTTTGTTCAGTGGGCAAAGACCAAATTAATTTCCACTTGGATTTTTGAATGGATATGGGAGTCCCTTCTTCTAGATTTTGATTGTTGGCAAGAAAGTTAGTAGAGCGAACTGTTCACTAACCATTTGGGTTCAAAGTCCAGTAGAGCCTATCTTCCCAATCCCCATTGACAAAGGGGATTTGGGTGATTATGTTACTACATCACTGAAAGAGTTGGAAATTAGGTTTTCTTTCCACCTTCTTTGTCAATTAATCCACTCACCAATTTAGGTTCAGAAGGGCCTGGCATCGGCCCCATTGGTTTAAAACCTTCTAGAGTTGGGAGCCATGGGTTCTCCCAGATTGAAATATTAGATCCCTTATTGACATTCTAGCAAACTCCTTTAAGTCAAATTTTCCTCTCCTCTATCCCCAAGATCCCTTAGCTTGGAATTAGAGGAATCACCAATCACCCCTCTCGTAGAGCTCACCACTACTGCTACAACATCTTTACATGAATGAAGGAGATAGTAGAGTTTCTCTATTTATAAGGGCAATGTTGACATTTTAAATTTTTTATAGACACTCTTGTCCTAGCGAAAATAAATAACTGTGGTTTTTTTTTTTTTGTAAAACATGAATAAATACTTAGTTGCCACTTATTGTATGGTCACACCACTTATTTAAATAAGTAATACCAAACAGCCACCTAATAAATCAACATAGATAAACCAGTTCAACCAATATAAATAACCCTGAATCTTAGGTTAGTTCAACTAGTTTTTTGAACACAAAATCCAGCTAATAAAATATTGGGAAAATTTCCATAGTATTTTATACTTTAGGTCAAGTGCCAATTTAGTACCTAAACTTTAAAATGCCATAATCTAATACCTAAACTTTCATTTTGCGACAATTTAGTACCCCACACTAATTCATCATCAGTTAGAAGAATAAGATGATATTAAATATTTTTGAAATACCAAAACTAACATTTACAAAAATATACGGACCACTGGTCAACTGTTGTATCAATAGCGGCGCCGACCACATTCCTTTCCTCTTCCTCTTCCTCGAATCCAACTTCTAGTTGTCTTCCTCTTCCTCACGTCCACCCCCTCCTGTGAGTCACCGGCCATTGCCAAGTAACCTATTCAACTACTGTATCAATGACGAGTCTTTAACCTGAGACTGAGGCTACGAGGATTGTGCTCATCCACTCGTCTATTTAATACAACTGCTGCTGTATCACCGGCCATCGCCATTGATACAAATGTTGTTCAACTGAGCACGAGGAGGTTAAAGATTAAGACTGAGCAGTTGTATCAATAGTTGTATCACTGGCCATCACTCAGTCTCTTTCACCTGAGACTGAGACTGTGAGTCTGTTCAACTGCTGTATCAATGGCGATCCAAGAGCTGCTCGGCTCGAGGGTCCTTTTGTTGCTGCTGATGATTTGCCGATTCTGTCGCCACCTACGGTGGCCACCACCAGCTCCACCTCACAGACCACCATTGCCACAACCTTAGGCGGTCCGAGAGTTGGTCCATTGTAATGGGAACAAAGGTACCTCCACTGCCATTCGGAGATCCACCTCCCAACTCTTGCCTAAGACGAATGAGTTGCTCCGGATGCTTCTCAATTCTATGCATCTCTGGTTCTCCACAACCTTGCAAGTTGTACCTCTGTTATTAGCAAATCATCAGCAAAACTCTGGTTCTCCCATCCGTCGGAGGTCCGAGAGCTGGTCCATTGTGTCTAGCAAGCTCTAGTTCTCCACAACCTTGCAAGCCATACCTCTTCCCAGAATATCTGTAACTCTCCTAAATCCAGCTCCTCCACCCTCTGTTTTCTAGCTTCTCTCTCTCTCTAGATTCATTGATGAAAGATGGTCTGGCGGTGCAGCTAAAAAACAAACACCCCCCAGGAGCTGTTCTTCATGCACTTGAGTTGGTCGCTGATGACGACAATGGTGGGGAGCTCAATGCCTTCTTTCATGACATTGAGGTGGCGCAGCTAGTCTACGGCGTCGAGGAGGGGTCGAATCCAGTCGTTGTAGGAGGAATAGAGAGGAATTGCATCTTCGGTAACCTCAGCGTCTTCTTCCTTGGCACTACCAAGGCCAATGYTGGCCATTGTGTCTTCCATAGAAGAAGTTGCAGAAGCCATGAGAGATAAGAGAGAGATGGTTTCTTTTCAAATTATAAGAGTTGCGTTGCGCAGAGTGAGAGACGAGAGATCAAAGGTGATGCCAGTTGAGATTGCTTGGGTTGCCAATTTAGCATTTTCACTGCCATGATGACTTCCAAGATTCATATTGTTCATTGCTAATTTGCCATTTTCGCCCAGACCATCAAAGGAGGTGGCAAGTTCACTCTCCTCTGCATCAGGTTTTATCGGTTTTCTTCGTCATCTTTCTCGGTATTTCATTCCCCATTTCCCATCTTCACCTTTTTCTCCTTCCTCTAGTCTGAACCTCGTCATCCATTCATCACTATTCATCGTCTCCTTCGATGAACAGTGACGACACTCGCCTCTCTCTCTCTTTCTCAATAATCCCCAGATTTCACACATTCAATGTTCCGGCGCAACACATGGTGAGGCTTCTCATCATGGTGGTCTTCTACATCTGCAACGACGGTGGTTCCGAAGGCAACATCCCCTCCAACGCCAGCAAGAAGAAGCCCAGTGGGCTCCTGTACAGGAAAGGCAAGTGGTTTTTTAGGCTGGTATGAGAAATCCACATATTCCGCAAAACCTCTCCGCGTTTTTGAGTTTTGACCTCTGAAGTTTCGAATATAATCATTAAAATCATTAATGTCATCCCAACTGAAATCTCAAATCTGGGCTCACATTAGATCAGACCATTAGGAAAGAATCTTACCTAATTCAACTCTCAAGGGTGGGACCCACTGCTTAGATTTGGACGGTCGGGATTTGGACCCAATCTCAGTAACTACAAGTGCGAACAGTAGTTACCACTTGCATAGGTCGAAATAGCTAATGGGATCATTTTTGTAATTTCAATAGAGAATTCATGCATTATTCGAAATAGTTTAAGGGTATTTAAGTCTCTTTGTCTAACTAATGGTGAGTTAACGTCGGGTACTAAATTGTCGCAAAAATGAAAGTTTGGATACTAAATTATCACGTTTTAAAGTTCGGGTACTAAATTGACACTCGGCCTAAAATACAGAGTACCTATCGAGAATTTTCCTTAAAATATTTAACTCGAAACGTACAAGCATGCAACTTGGCCTAGTTCCATTGCATTCTCACAATTTGGAGTTTGGGGCA